GCATCTGAAGGAGCTCAGGAAATGTCACCTCAAAATATGTAACTTAGGACTTCAAACTGAGGGCACTTAGAGAACAGCAAACATGGTGTGTGTGGGCATGTGCTTTCTCTGAACTTTCCTTAACTTCCTAAAGACAGATTAGCCAAAAGGAACTCAATTGTTATGAATTCTGTCTGTGGGAATCTCATCAACCAGGGAATGTTAACTCATAGGAGAGGAGACTAGAAGTTGACACCATGCCTAGACAAACTTTGTCAGACACTGTCACCTATTCTTCTGAGGTCTCATTTATCTTTCCCCAAAGTCATTTACTCTTGGCTGGGAGCAGTGGCTGGTTTATGCCTGTAATCCTTGCACTCTGGGAGGCCAAAGCAGGTGGATTCCCCTGAACTCACAGGTTCCAGACCAGCCTGAGCAAGAGCGAGACCCCGGTCTCTAAAAATAGCCAGGCATTGTGGCAGGTGCCTATAGTCCTAGCTACTTGGGAGGCTGAGGCAAGAGAATCACTTGAGCCCAAGAGTTTGAGGTTGCTGTGAGCTATGATGCCACTGCACTCTACCCACTCTACCAAGGGTGACAAACTGAAACTCTGTCTCAAATAAAAAAAAGAAAAGAGAGAGAGAGAGAGAGAGAGAAATTTATTTATTCTTCCTTTAGTTGCCTATATTCCCTCCTCTCCTCTCCTCTATGGAAAGTGTATATAAATTTCTAGATATCACCGGGTTGGGGTGCTCACTTTTCTTTCATGTGATGTCTCCATTCATGTAATAAATTTGTATATACAACTACTATAGTTTGGATATGGTTTGTCCTCAACAAATATGTTGAAATTTGATACTCTGCATTAGAGGAAGGGTCCAGTGGAAGGTGTTTCAGCCATGGGGCCAGATCCTTCATGAATAAATTAATGTCCTCCTGGGGGTAAGTTCTTACTTTGTTAGTTTCTACCAGAGCTGGTTGTTAAAAAGAGCCCAGCACCTCCCCTCTCCTTGCTGCTTCTTTCACAGTGTGATTTCTGCATGTTCCATCTCCCCTTCACTTTTCACCATGAGTGGAAGCAGATTGAGGCCTTACCTTATATCCAATCTTAAAGTTTCCTAGATATCAGAAACATGAGCAAATTAAACCTTTTTTATTTATAAATAACCCAGCTTCAGGTATTCCTTTATTCCTTAGCCAAAACAGCCTAAGATAATACATTTTCTGCCATTAATCTGCCTGCGATCTGTTTATTTCATAGACTCACTTGTCAAGCCTTCAGAGAGTGAGGGAAAATCTTTCCTCTCCTACACATCCTGAAGCACAGCTATCTTAGAAAATAAATACTGTCATCTCCATTTTACAAATGAGAAAACTTAGGTTCTATAAGACAAGCAAAAGTCACTTGTCCTAAGTCACACAGCTGGTAAGTGAATAATGTGGGATTCAAACAAAGATCTAAGCCCAAGGTCTATGTTCCTCTAAACTACCTGCTTATCACTAAGTGGGTCAGAGAGTTACCTTTCTGATTTCTACATCATTATTTCTTCTGTGGATTAACCAGATCTGAGAAGTATTTAAAACCAATCCCTGCTCAACTACTTAGCATATTCCACTCAATTAGTTGAGTATTCAGGGTTTATTAACTTACTTTGGATTTTTATTATTCATAATTCATCAACTAATATTATTTTAACATTGGGCCCAGACAAACAAAAGTTGGAAGGGAAACTCGATGGGCCAGACAGGCCAGTGAGGTATATAAATCAATTATGTTTGAAGTAGCACAAATAAGGGTGTAATCACACAATTGTCATTTGGTCCTATTTCCTTTGTATCTTTCCATAATGATTATACCACTCTTGATTCAGGAGGTGCTTCAGAATTCAGTTCCCTTTTGGAAATTCTAGTGCATATATGTTACTGTGGCCAGCTTCATGCCCTATTCATTTGACAAACAAAATTGGTGCCCACATGTGGTAGGTGTTATGCTATGTATTGGGAATACCAAAATAGAAAGGACACAGTCCTTACCATCAAGATCACAGTTTAGTAGTGGGAAAGTTATGTGAAACATAAAATACATTATCATAGAGGTATTCTCAGGATGCAATTGGAATGAGTTGTGTGGCCATACCAAATGGAATATGTGAGTTCATTCTTGAAGAATTTATCAAGTTTCCAAGGTAGGGGTGTTCCTGACGATGAAACCAACTTGCGCAAAGGTATGAAAAGTGTCAGCAAATTTAGTAGTGTGCAAGCATGGCTTCCTTGCAAAATGTGGAAGATAGTGATGGAGAGTAAGATTTTAGGTCATGCTGAAGAGCTGATAGTTTGTCTCCTGTAGTACCTGGGGTCAGACAGGTAAGGTAAATGAATGCCAAGCACAGTGTTTGAGAAGGAAGAAAGAGGTGGTGATGGCTGTGTGGAACTTGATTGTTCATGGTTGTTTCAAGGGAATAATTCCAGCTGAATGCAGCCATACGGAAATGTGGATACAGCGTTAATAACTCTTCTACTTTTTTAATAGAAAAGCAGGAAATTTATATTTTTAAAAATGTGAAATCTTAAGATTTTCAAATGCTGGAAAATGATTTTTTTTAAATTCAAGTTTTAGTCAAAAACACACCAAACACAACACATCTGTTTGCTGGATACAGCTTACAGGTTGTCATTTGAGACCTGTTCTGTAGGGTGTAGGATACTTGTGGAAGCATGGAAGCTAAATGAAACAACACTTTAAAACACTCAAAAGCCCACATACATTCTTCACTGGATTGCCCCATTCCAACATTTCTATGGCATATGAAGCCGTATGTTCTTTGGTTCTTTGGGGAACCAAAGTAAGGTCTGAGGACAAATTTTCAGGGCTTCTGAGGTCAATGGTGCAAACCGGGTCTCAGTTAAGTTGTCAAAGCCTAGTAAAACATGGTAAACTGAGACCAGTATGGCTCCTTCAGCATCACCACTACCACCAGGAGATGGATGCCATTTGTTCCCTTTACTTTTGAGAGGAAGAAGTGGCAGCCTCTTTAAATTGTGTGTGCAGTGAAGTCAACATAGACAGTAATAACACAGATAAAACACTATATGATAGCTGTTAAAGTTCAAACTTCTCATTTTATAGCTGGAGAAAGAAAGCCCCCCCACCCCCCAAATCACAATGTCTTGTTCAGAGTGACCCAGTAAACTAGTGGCAGGGCGAAGTCTCCTGACTCCTGGTCTATCATTCTTTCGAATAATCCTGGGCTGTGATAATTAAGGTAAATCAGCCTGGCAGTTTTCCTAGCATCTAGAATTTCTGGACTGGACAAACAGGACCTGAGAGCAGCTTTTAAATACTTTTTTTCTTATCTATATGATGATTTTGGGGGTACATTTTATATTTCGTGGGCAAGGGTTAAAGAGAGGATACAAAGGTATTTTTGAACCACTGAGACCATTCACAAACTATATGGAAGAAAAGTTGTCTGTGGCTAATATATTTAAGGCTATGACCTCTGTGCTCTCTGAACTGACCTCCAATCATACGCTTTTGTTTTGTTTTGTTTTGTTTGTTTTTTCTCTTCTTGCCTTCTTTTCTATGTCCACGTTTTTCTTCTCTTCCACTGGCTTAGTTCTTAGGCCTATCTGTGAATGCCCCTGGGCATTCCTGAACTGCCTTGGTGGCACTCAAGATGTCTGCTGAAAGTCAATAAAATAGCTTATTATTCATTTCTCAATTAATAACATGGGAATAAGAATGCATAGCAACTAAGAAGCATACATGTTTCCCTTGCTGTGGTTATTTAGCTTTGTATAATTCCAGACTAGAAACTTTTGTCAACTATGACATTTTATTTAACTAATCCTTTTCATCCTTCATTTCAGGGTTTATTGTTCTACCATTTGCCACTTCTCTTTTGGTTGTTGTTGTTTGTTTGTTTGTTTGTTTGTTTTGCTCTGAACCCATCTCTGATAGATGCAGCTGTTGAAGATGCTGCAGTTGCAGCAGTGTACATCTGGAACATTTGGCTGACTTGTTGAACTTCCCAAGGGAGTGCTCCAGGGGGAAGGATGGGAGGGGTGGAGAGGCCAGAACAGTTGTCTGCAGATAGAAATGCCAACAGTGTCTAGCCATTTTGTGGACCACCCCTGTAAAATTCCACCTCATTCTGGTCCTCAATTTCCTCATTTGCTCATTGAAGGCACATGTTCTCCAATTAAAACTCCCGCTGCAGTGGAAGAGGGGAAACTATTAAGGCTGTGGATTTTCGCATATAGCACTTTCTGCATTGTAAAGGGATCAATACATATTTGTCAAATTAATTAATATACTAAGAAATCTAAGGAGACTATTTTACCCTTCATGGGGCAATATAATTTCAGTTCTGCTTGGCACAGATCAGCTTCTCCGTTACTTAGATTAAGCCCCAGACTCACTCTAGGAGTAAGATTGCTTGAATCCCACCGCATTCCCATTCCCGGTTCCTTTGGCTCCCAGGCTCCTGGGTCTCCTTTTCTTCTGGGGAGCCATTGGATTGCAAACACAGCAGGCATGGTTTCATTCCAAATCCAGAACTGTTTTAATTAGTTTAACGTCTGTTAAATGCTTTGAAGATTGAAAGCAACAGATAAGTACTGAGTGATGTTATTAACAACTGCAGTTAATTGCGAACATTTCTATTAATGCTAGTTTCTGTCTCCTTTTCTTTGCTCTACTGTCTTTCCAAGGCTCCCAAATTCTTCTCAGCCTCCCCCTCCTTTCCTCCCCCGTACTGAGGCTATAGGGTTAAATTGGGGCGGAGTCCAGGGATAAACGACAGCGGCAGTCACCAACTGGAAGGGGGCAAGCGGAAAGGGCTGGGTGGGGCGGCCAGGCAGAGGGGAACCCTCTTGCCCCCAGGCCCCGCCCCGCGGCTGGAGGCCCGGGTGGAAAGAGAGGGGGCGGGGCGCCGAGGCTTGGCGGGCCGGTGGTTGGGCGTCCAGGCAGCCGCTTGAGGGATGGGGCGGAGTTGGCCAGGACCTCCTCCCTCATTCCCTCGGCGGGCTGAGCCACCCCTCTCTCCCGCCCTCCTCCTTGCTTTCCCACCCCTCGGAGTGGAGCTGCACACGCGGCTGCTCCCTGCTCAGTCCCGCCCAGCCACAGTCGCTCAGGAACGGGTCCCTGCAGCCCTCGGCCGATGGCAGGACGGTAGCTGCCTGTCAGAGGTCGTGAACGGCTGAGGCAGACGCAGCGGCTCACGGGCCTCAAAAAGTAGGTGTCTCCGGAGGCCATGGGCTACCCCGAGGTGGAACGCAGGGAATCCCTGCCCACAGCAGCGCCACGGGAGCGGGAGAGTCAGGGCTGCGGCTGTCGCGGGGCCCCTACCCGGGCGGGTGAAGGGAACAGCTGCCGGCTCTTCCTGGGATTCTTTGGCCTCTCACTGGCCCTCCACCTGCTGACGTTGTGCTGCTACCTAGAGTTGCGCTCTGAGTTGCGGCGGGAACGGGGAGCGGAGTCGCGCCTAAGCGGCCCGGGCGCCCCTGGTACCTCTGGCACCCTGAGCAGCCCAGGTGGCCTTGACCCTGACGCTCCCATCATCCACCACCTTGGGCAACCGTCAACTCAGCAGCAGCCGTTGGAACCGGGAGAAGCCACACTCCCCCCTGACTCCCAGGACCAGCACCAGGTGAGTCACCTAATAGGGGCGGCGGCGGCAGAGGCCCCCTCCCCTTGTGGGTAGGGCAAGGTGCTTATCTCCAGCCAAGTTAGAGGGCACCACCAGGGAGGGAGCAGGCGAACAGGAAGCAGGTTGCCGGGGGCAAATTGTCCTCGGTCCCTGGCCCAGCTTAGTCTCTCTCAGGACCACTTACTTGACTTGGAGACTCTACCCGTGCCTGAGGCCGCTGGCTGCGGGATGCCTCAGAAAAGTTGGCAAGGCTCCCTCCCGGGCAAAGGCAAAAAGGTGCCTGCACTGCCCCCCTGGACGACTAATAGCAAGCAGCTTCGCCCTCCTGCTGCTGGTGAGCTTCCCTGCCCGCGGTGCTTGTTTTTTCGTGTCCAGAGCTGATGCCAGCACTAGCAGGCTTTCCTTTGGAGTTGGAGCTGTAAACAGCTGTAATAACTACTCCACGCCCGCTGCAACAATTTATAACCATATTTTCAGCGCGAGGTCCTTGTGCGCTGACCATAACATGGACTTGTTCACACTTACCTGCAATTTGAGACCGATTGTCCTCAGCGATCTAGTGAGGATCAGCGCCCCTGAGGAATTCTGGTAGAAATATGCGGTCTTGCTAGACAACTTCTGAACAGCAATTTTAACAAATCTATGGAAATAAAGCTCACCCTTTGCATGCCGGTTCTGACTTTTTATGGGGGGGTTGCGGTGAGAAGAATGGGTGTGTAGCGTTTTCATTACTGCTAGCTTGAGAACAGTAATCTGCCAATGAAATAATCACTCAGGAGTAGTCTTCCAAGAGCAGTTATTTTTGCAATCTTTATGATGTTTGCGCCTTTATTAGCAAGCCATTAATTTTGATGTTTGTTTTCTACTTTTTCTGGCTCTTTATTCAAGTAAATTTAGTGCACTTAATGTAACTATTGTCTTGATTGCCATATTTTCTCCTGTATGTGAAACTTAAGAAAAGCCTCCAAGGATCCTTTTGAAGTGGTTAAAGAAAAGTAATGAATTTGTACCTTTTGGGGAAGAGAGCATGTTGTGCAAATAAGTTCCTTGAGGTGACAGACTCAGGCCTTCTATTTACTACCACATCCATAGTCATTGACACAAGAATGTAAACGTTGTTTTCCTAGTTTGACCTCCCATGTAGAGTTGTGCACTTTATGGAGGCATCACATTCATAATAATATTGTAATATTAGAATGGACACTTTTTTTTGTTTTGTTTTTACAAAGTACGCATTGTAAAGTTGCCCTGAATCTTAAAATGTCTTGTTGGCACACTCCAATTTATATAACAGCTTATCAAAGAAGAGAATCAGCAGACATGCTTCTCATACTTGAAACTTTAAACACTGTACTAAATGATAATTAACTAGGATTCTGCCTCCTTTATTTATCTGTGCCCCCCCTCAATGCCTAGTGGAAATACTAGGCATCTGAGCATTGATATTATGTGAGAAGATGAAGGAATTAGACTTCCTTAGCCATATGGGTGGCCAAGGTATTTGGCATTTAGGGTGGATGAAGCCATGTTTATAGACTGAGGATTAGCAGAACAGCTGTACTCTAAGGCTTCTGTGATGGCCTGGGACTCTCACAGGTCTGTAGTGGCATTTAGTTGCCTGACCTTTGCATGGCACTAAAATAGTTCTGTCTACATTTAAACACAGCTTCCTATCTTCTGTCCTTTATTCTTTCTGTTTTAGTCTTTTTGAGTAGTATAAGGAAGAATATTGCCTCTTTATATTTGTTGACATCATTTGGAATCAGAATTTCTTAGAGTTATGAGGGGACAATGCGTCCATTTTGTTTGACTCCCTTGGAAAATATATAGGCCCCGAGGGCGAAGTGACTTGTCCAGGGTCATGCAACTAGAGTCAAAACTGGGATGGATGTTGCTCTTTTGATTCCCGTTTCAGTGCCTATTCTCACATAGCATACTACTTCCTGGGGCCTTTTTAGATTAGTGGCATGGAGTTACATAGTAGAATTTTTTTACAAAAGAGAGAGTTCAGATCTGCATCATTTCGTTCTACTCTACCTACATTTTGACCAGACTAAGTTAATGTGTTGTTCCTTATTCTTCCAGAACTCTGCTTTCATAAGACTTGGAGTACACTTTGAGGGATTTAAGCCCATATTCAACTCAAGTTTATCTTGATGATCTTAGTTTTGGCACACGGTATAATTTTTGAAAAGGAAAAGTCAATTGGCTAGTAGAGTTAATACTACTATAGCTTGGGTAAAATTCTAGTGCCCTGGTGCACCCTCTGCTGGATTTGCAGGGACATTTAATTGCAGCATCTGCTGACAGTCAAAATTCAAAGTTGTGCTGACAGATTCTGATTCGTAAATAAGGAAGTAAACAGTCTTGTGGGATTTGGCCACGTAGTTCATATTTTTATATTTTAGTTTTTCAACACAAACAACTGCTGTTACAGCAAATCTTGGATGTAGAGGAAGAAAGATATAAACATGCACCCTTCAATGGGCAGTATGTTTAGGTTTCTTATCAGTTTGTCTACAAGGAGTGAAGGCAAGTGGATGAGAGAATAAACTGTAGGTAGGCAAAGTAAACCTATCCATGCTTATGAAATGATAGGCTAAAGAGAGAGATCTAGAAATCACTGTAGAAGTATGTATATCCTCTCAATTGAAAAACCTTTTAAACAGGATACAGAAGGAAGCTAGAATGGTTAGGATACATAGAAGAGAGATCAGCAAAGTCTTCTCAGTGGGGACACCGCAGTTGCTAATTATAAAAAGTGAGAGTGTCATATCAGAGCTTCTAGAATCATAACTATCTCCTTCAACTAGAACAGCCCAGTGGCTGTAGATTTATCTTGGTACTTCATGGAGATGATCTCAAGGGCAAGGGACATCTCATTAGTGTCTAAATTAGATAATATACAGTATGATTATTATAGTAAAAATGCAAACATTACTGTTGATCATTCTGTAGTGCTGTTCTTCTACTACTAATTGTGATCTTCACAGGCCAAGAATACGGTGGCATCATCAGTAAGGGTATCAAAAATAACAACAGAACCAAACCCTTATGTTTTCCATGAAAAGCAGATTTCCTTCTGCAATCAAATAGGAAACTCTGGTGGCTACTCCTCAGCAAAAAAAACCTAACAGCTGATAAAAGTTCCCAGAAACCCAATTAAATTGATCAACAGGAAGGAAGGATTTTCTAGTTGTTTTTTTAGTCTCGAGAAAGAGAGGTTGAGGAACCAATATAATCAAAATCTACCAAACCATTAGAGAGATGAGTATGGTTAATATGTTGGTATAATTTAACAATGCAGTTTAATAAGTAGAAAGCCTGCTATGCCAAACATGATGATAAGTATTGGATATCTTTTAGTGGTTAAAATTATTTTTGGGGTCAAAAAAACAATAATTCAACTCATTGCCTCAAGCATGTTCTAAAGTGTGTGTAGATCACTAAAGGTTTATTCAGGACTAGTTAGGGGATATTTGGGGTATGTTCCTAATTATTTGAGGTGATGTCATAGAAGTAAGCCTTAAAGTTCTACAAAACATTTCTTTGGTATAACTAGATAGATCATTAGTATATCCAGATTTAATATTACTGTTATTTTCTTAATAACAGTAATTAATCAGCGTTAACATAAGGAATTATTCAAGATGGTTCAAGGTGAGCATAATGAATAAATCCAGGGGTTTTTTAAAGGAAATTATAATCAAGATAAAATCATTTTCTATGGGTTTAAATATAGACTTTTTACTGTAACATTGAAAGATTTTGGTCAACAGTCTTCATTTTACCCTCTCCATTTTCTGTCACTAACTCTGCTTCTTCAATCCACCTACCATATCCTGTCTTAGAACCATTTTCTAGTTGTTATTGCTTTCATTTAAAATACATTTTGTCTTTACATTAGAGCTCCTCAGAAATTTGCCTTTTTTGTTTTTCTTCACAGTGCCTGACACAGTGCTAGTTTCAGTTAGTATACTCAAATACTTGTTGAGTGGAATATTATTTTGGGCTTTGCAAATATTTATATAAAGAAAGACATTTTCTCTTTATATAACGGGCCTGTTTTCCTCAGGTCTTGGTAAGCCTGTGAACTGTCACCTATGCTTACGTGAGTAAATAGTTCCACTGGTAATGTTTAACTGATTTCTAGAATAATTAGAAAGTGAAATAGAGAAGAGCCCTAATCACGTTGTCACAGCCTCCCAGTTTCATGCCTTACCTCTCAGATGGTATAAAAAGCTTTCTGTAATACAGGGTGACCATAAAGTTCATGTGCATTTTTTTTTTAAATTTAAAAAGAAAGAAAAAAATGAAAAGCTAGGTTCTGGGTATTTACAGAACTGAGTATTTTTTAAAATTATACATGAACTTTATCACTGATGTTTTGTCTTATTTGCTTTTAGGTTTCATATCTTTCTTTCTCTCTTGGATCTTGTGAAAAATAATCTGTAATTTATCTGTAACTACCTTATAAAGAAGATCTATTTTCCTGGAAAACTTCTGAAGCTACTTCATTCCCCAAACATTCCCAATAAAAACCTTTGGCCTTGCCTGCAGGATGTCCCTCACAGAGGATTATTTTTATCCCACTCCTCTGTAAATACCCAGAATTTAGCTTTCCATTTCTTTCTTTCCTTTTTTTTTTTTTTTTTTACAAAGCTTTTCTATTGATGTACAAAACACATAAAGAAAAGTGCACAAATCATTTGTACAGTTTGGTGAATTATTAAAAAGTGAAGATACTCATGATACCAGCACCTCAGTCAAGAAAGAGAGCATTATTAGTACTCTGAAACCTCTACTTATGTCACATTCTTATCACTTTATCATCTTGCTCTCCAAAGTTAGTGACTGCTCTGACTTCTATCATTATTGATTACTTTGCCCATTTTGAACTTTGCATAAGTGTATTATTTAGGTGTGTTTTTTTATTTCTCAACACTGTATTTGTTATCCATTTATTTTGTTGTGTGCAGCTATGGTTTTTATTTGAATTTATGCATATTATCCCATTGTTTGAGTATATTCGTTCATTATTCATTCTATTGACAATGAATATGTGGATTATTTCCAGTTTGGGATTATTACGAATAATGGTGTTTTGAATATTATTGTACATGTCTTTCAGTTATATGTACTTGAATTTCTCTGGGGTATATGCCTTGGATTGGAATTGCTGGGTCATGGGGACTGCATATTTTTGAATATATTGATAATAACAATTTTTCTAAGTGGTTGTACCAATGTACATTCTCACCAGCAATGTATGAGAATTCTAGTTTCACATCCTTACTACCACTTGGTATTGTCAATGTTTTTAATATTAAATCCATTCTGGTGGTTGGGTTTGTAGGAATATCTTGTGGTTTTAATTGGCATTTCTCAGATTAGCCAATGAGGTGTGCTCTTTTTTATGTTTATTGTCCATTTGGATATCATCTTCTGTGAAATGCCTATACAAGTTTTTTGCCCGTTTTCTTCTATTTGTCCTTATAGGTATGTAGGAATTCTTTATATACCCTGGCTATAAATTATTTTTGTATTTTTTATGTTGTAAATGATTCCAAAATCTGTGGTTTACCTTTCTTTATGTTATCCTTTATTGACCAAAATTTTAATGTGTATAATTTTTCAGTATTTTCATTTATGCCTAGTGTTTTTTGTGTTCCAGTTAAGAAATATTTTATGCCTAGTTGCATGCCTGAAATCCTAGCACTTTGAGAGGCTCAGTCAGGATTGCTTGAGGCCAGGAATTAAAGACCAGCCTGAGTAATATAGCAAGATCCTGTCTCTACAAAGAAATAGAAAAATTAGCCAGATGTAGTGGTGCACACCTGTAGTCCCAGTTCCTTGGGAGGCTAAGGCAGAAGAAAGGCTTGAGCCTAGGAATTTGAGGTTGCAATGAACTATGATGATGCCACTGTACTCTAGCCTGGGCAACAGAGTAAGCCTTTGTCTTAACAAACAAACAAACAAAATAATAAATATTTCTCCTACTTTGAGATCATGTAGATACTCTTCCATATCATCTTCTAGAAGCTTTTTATTTTTGCCATTCATATTTAGATCTATAATCTACCTGGAATTGATTTTTGTCTATGGGGAGATACAGAAAACAAGCTTTAATTTTTCCAGGTAGATATCCAACTGATCCAGTACCAATTTAATATTGGTAGGACTGACTTTGCTCCTTTTCTTTGTAGTATTACCTTTGTCATAAATCAAGTGTCTTTATACGTGCAAGATTGTTTCTGAACTGTTTATTCTTTAAAAAAAATTTTTTTTGAAATACTGACATGGTCTTACTCTGTTGCTCAGGCTGGAGTGCAGTGGCATGATCATAGCTCACTGTAACCTTGAACTCCTGGGCGTAAGCAATCTTCTCATCTCAGACCCGAAAGCCCTGGGATTACAGGCATGAGTTACTGCTCCTGGCCTGTTTATTCTATTCTTTTGGTTTATTTGTCATTGCACTACTACCACAGTCTTCATTACTGGAGTTTATTGCTATATGGTAAAGCAAATCTTTCCATCTTGTTCTTCTTTTGTAAAAATATCTTGACTAATCTTGGCCCTTTGCATTTTTATTTACATTTTAGAATTAGCTTTTCCTGGTCCACAAAAACAAAAAAACGAAAGCTCCTGATATTTTTATCGGGATTACATTGCTTTGAATCTAAAAATCCATTTATAGAGAATGCATATCTTTATAATATTCAGTATTATTATTTTTTGAGACAAAGTCTCACTATGTCACCCTTGGTAGAATGTTGTGGCATCACAGCACACAGCAACCTCAAACTTTTGCCTCAATTCTCTTGCCTCAGCCTCCCAAGTAGCTGGGACTATAGGTGCCCACCACAACGCCCAGCTATTTTTTTATTTTAGTTGTCATTGTTGGTTAGCTGGCCCCAGTCAGGCTTGAACCCACCAGCCTCAGTGCATGTGGCTTGTGCTGTAACCACTGTGCTATGGGCACTGAGCCAAATATTCAGTCTTCTAAACCATGAACATGCGTGGAAGATTCAGTGTCTGGTAAGGGCCCACTTCTAGGTTCATAGACTCGTACCCTCTTACTGTATTCTTGAACCTATTTTATAAGGATGATAATCTCATTCATGAAGACTCTGCCCTTAAGATTTAATACCTAAAAAGTACTCACCTCCTTTTAATATCACAGTGGTGATTAGATTTCAACATATGGATTTGGGGGAAACACAAATATTCAGAAAATAGCAAACCCTTTTAGATACTTTCTCAGCATCCCTTATGTCTGTTACATACTTTTCTCTATGTTCTATCCTTTTCTCACCCTTTCTGTGCATCATATTGGATATTTTCTTTTCTTTTTTTTTTTCTTGAGACAGATTCTCACTATGTAGCCCTCAGTAGAGTGCTATGGGTCACAGCTCACAGCAATCTCCAACACTTGGGCTTAAACAGTTCTCTTGCCTTAGCCTTCCAAGTAGCTGAGAGTACAGGTGCCCACCACAACAACCAGCTATCTTTTTGTTGTAGTTGTCATTGTTGTTTGGCAGGCCCCTGCTGGGTTTAAATCCTCCAGCTCTGCTATCTGTGTCTGGCGCCCTAGCCTCTGAGCTATAGACACTGAGCCCATATTAGATATTTTCTTGTGACTTATCTTTCAGTTTTTTCTAATCTATTAAATTCACTCATTGAGTTTTTTTTTTTTTTTTTTGAGACAGAGTCTCACTTTGTCACCCTTCGTAGAGTGCTGTAGTGTCACAGCTCACAGCAACCTCAAACTCTTGGGCTTAAGCAATTTTCTTGCCTCGGCCTCCCAAGTAGCTGGCACTACAGGTGCCAGCCACAATGCATGGCTATTTTTTTTGTTTGCAGTTGTCATTGTTTTTTTAGCTGGCCTGGGCTAGGTTTGGACCCGCCAGACTTGGTGTATGTGGTTGGTGCCCTACCCACTGAGCTACAGGTGCCACCACACTCATTGAGTTCTTAATATCACTTATTACATATATGTTCACTTCTAGAATTTCCATTTGTTTCGTTAAAAACGTAGTGTTCAGTTTTTTTGCCAAAATTTATAATCAAGTCTTTTCTTTTTTTGAACATACTGACCACAGGTATGTAATAATATTTATTTGGTAACTCATTTATCTTAGTCCTTGGGGGTTTATTTATTTATTTATTTGATACAGAGTTTCATTATGTCACCCTTGTTAGGGTGCTGTGGTGTCAAAGCTCACAGCAACCTCAAACTCTTGGGTTTAAGTGATTCTCTTGCCTTAGCCCCCCAAGTAGCTGGGACTATAGGTGCCCACCACAATGCCCGGCTTTTTTTTTTTTTTTTTTTTTTGCTGTTGTTGTCCTTCTTTTAGCAGCCCCTCCCCCCTGGGTTTGAACCCACCAGCTCCAGTGCATATGGCTGGTGCCCTAACCACTGAGCTATGGGCACTGAGCCATTGAGGGTATATTTATATTATCTATTGTTTATTTAGATTTTCTGTCACTTTGCCTGTTTCTTCATATGCCTAGTTGGTTTTGATTAGGAAAACACATTTTTGAGAAGTTATAGTAGGGATGGTTTGGGTCTCAATTATTTTTATCTTTATCTAGAAAGGATTTATACTCAATTCTGGTAGGTGGTGAGAGACACTAGCAATCCTATATCACCTTAATCCACTATGATTGAAAATGTCTTTAATCCATGGGAAGGTTGACTTACCCTTCCTTTTAATATTTATTTTTTCTAAATTAGACCCCAAAGCTTGGAGGTTTATTTGAGAGATTTTAGAGTTCCTTCTCCTTGACAAGTCCTGCATTTCAATTTTTTGTTCTTTTAGCTTCATGCATCTGTCAGAAGCTCTGTACTTTCTCAGCTTTCTCACAGAAGTGATCAGCAGTGGCCTTAGTAGAAAAACAACCTCTGTTTTCTTCTTAGTCTGTATTTTGGCTCTATAATACTACATTGTTTTGTTAAATTTCACATGTTCTCAAATATATATTATTTCTGTCTTTTTTTTATTAAGTCACGTATACATAGATCATGAATACATTCATGCCTTTGTGGGATTCAACGTGTTGATTATTTGTACAAATTGGAGTGCTTACATCCTAATAATTAACATAGCTTTCACCTCATTTACTTAATCACAGTGTTAAGATATTTGTGTTCAATACTTGATAGATTTGACTTGTACCCTTACCATATGCTCCATAGATATGGTCCCACCATTAACCCTCCCTCTATCAAACCACCCCCCTCCCTTCCCTCCTTCATCCTGGGCTATAGTT